TACTCGTCTTCGCACCGCGACCCGGTACGCTCCCCAGCCGATCGTGGCCGCAATGGCCGCGATGACCGGATCAAGGAAGAGCCACGTGACAGCTTCTACCGTGGTCGATCACCTGGTATGAGACACCGATTGGGCGTCATCCCCCATCAGGACATCTCGCTGACCGTTTGCGCATTCAGGCCCTGAACGACCTCGACGCAATCGCTCCCGCTCTCCGCAGCAGGTAGATCGCTACGAACCTAGAGCTCGAGGAGGCCGAGACGACTATGCCCCTACCCGCGAGAGAGGCGACCCACGCGAGCGCGACGACAGGCGACGAGTCACATCCCCACCTGCCAACATTGACCGATACGTCCCAGGCCAGGGCAACAACGATGCCGCCGCGCCCGCTGTCAACCCTCTGACCGATCCTTCGAAACTGCCCTTCCAAGTTGGTTTCTCGTATTTCGGCGAGTGGTGGAGGACAAACGAGAAGATCAAAGAAGACAAGGAAAGAGCCAAGACAGGAAGGCGGCGCGAGCCAGAACGTCCTCGTGGGGCTCGAGAGTCACAAGAGGAGCGCGACAGGGAGAAGGCCAGGATCCAAGCCGCCTACGACGTCTACAAGGAGGAGCTCCAGGCAAAGATGGCCCGCGCTTTCGTTGCCGAGCACAAGAAGGAGCAATGGTTCCGTGAGCGCTACGTGCCCGAAGTTCGGGACGGCCTGAATGCTCAGATTAACGAGTTCCGACGGGGCGGGTACAATCAGTGGGAGCAAGACCTTGAGGCTGGCACCTTCGATGAGTTCTCGCTCGAGGGATTACCCAAGAGCGAGATCAATGGCGCAGGCGGTGTGATTGAGAAGGAGGAAGGTGAGGCCACCGCTGCCAATGAGGTCCTCGGTGTTGGCGATCTGGTTCCGGCTTCTGGGAACGACCTGAGAGACGAGAACCTCTACCAGCCAACGCTTCTGATTAAGACCATCGCTCCCCACGTGAGCCGCCAAAATCTCGAGACGTTCTGCAAGGAGAACCTGGGTGAGGAAGAGGGCGGCTTCAAGTGGCTGTCCTTGAGCGATCCTAACCCCAGTAAGAGATATCACCGAATGGGTTGGGTCATGCTTCACCCATCTCCAGACTCTGTTGCTCCAATCGAGCGTCCGGACCCCAAGGATGAGGACATGGACGACGAGCCGAGGTCGCCCAAGCTGGTCAGCACAGCGGAGAAGGCGCTTGAAGCTGTCAACGGCAAGACGGTCAAGGACGAGGTCCGTGGTGATTTCGTGTGCCATGTGGGCGTCCACAACCCGCCCACGAACCCGCGCAAGAAGGCTCTGTGGGACTTGTTCTCTGCGCCTGAACGGATCGAGAAAGACCTGGGGCTTGTTCAGCGCTTAATCAACAAGTTCGAGGAGGACTACGGCTCCGACTTCAATGCGGTGCTCAGAATCGAAGAACGAGTCGAGAGCTTGCGGAGTGCCGGCCAGCTCAAGCCCGTTGGGCCTGCGCCGGTGACCAAGAAGGTCAAGAAGGAGAGGAATCTCGACTTCGATGACGCTATGGACGAGGGTGAGATGGGTGACTCAGAGGAGGAAGAGGGCGCGATCGATGACGAAGAGGTTGACGACGAAGACCTTCTGGCGAAGAAGAAACAGCTCGATCTCGCGACCGAGTACCTTCGTCGGGTCTTCAACTTTTGCTTCTTCTGTGTCTTCGAGTGCGACTCCATTCACGAGCTGACGCGCAAATGCCCAGGTGGCCACCTGCGTCGACCTCGGAGCACGCTCTCAACCGCTGCGAAGGGCGTGGCTCGGGCGAGTGCCAATGGCGAGCCGTTCCCAGCCAAGAAGCGCGAGGAGGGCGAAGATGAGGGCGAGGCGCCAGAAGCGGACCGGAAATTCCGTGGTCAGTCGTCCAAGTCTGAGCAGCAGCTCGAGCGTGCATACAAGTGGGTCAAGACTTTCGAGGACAAGATCATGCAGATCCTGGAGCCGGAGACGGTAGACCTCCGCAAGCTCGGCGGCAAGCCGGCAGATGAGGCGGTCACTGAAGAGCTCAACAAGTTTGTCAAGCAAGAAGACGAGCACAAGTGGCGTTGCAAGGTGCCCGAGTGTACCAAGCTCTTCAAGGAGGAGCATTTCTGGAAGAAGCACGTTGAAAAGCGTCACGGCGACTGGCTGGAAATGTTGAAGCAGGAGGCAAGTCGGACGCACGCTGCACAGAAATTTGTTTACTCAACTAACACTATCTTTGCAGTTTGATCTCATCAACGCCTACGTCTTAGACCCATCCCACATCGCGCCGTCGCGGACTGACGCGAACAGCAATGGACACTTCCCGCCAACTGGCGGTCAAACACAGCAAGGCACACCGAGGGGCTTCAACCTTAACAACTTCAATATGAACAGCCTTATGCCACAGTTCCCCGGCTTCCCTGGATTCACCGGCATGCCACCTCTGTTCGCTGGTGGCGCTGCGGCAATGCAAGCAGCTGGCTGGAACGCGGGTGGTGTCGACCGCAGCGGAGGACCTATTCGCCGTGGTGGTGGCGGGGCCGCTGCAGGCCGTCATCAGAACAGGAGCGGTCCGTATGACCGGCGGCAAGGGCAGCAGGGCCGCTATGGCGTGGACGGCGTAGGAGCCGGCCGGGGTCGGGGCGGTGCCGGGCGCTGGGGAGATGGGGCTGCTGGCGGCGCTGCTGTCGGTCCTCGTGAGGCTGTTCAGGGTCGTAGTCTGAAGAGCTATGAAGACCTAGACCATGTTGCTGGAGGCGGCTCTGGCGAGCTGAACTACTGAATGTGCCAGCTAGAGTAGTTCAGTTGTATGTAATGCGGGCCACACGCATTCTTAGTAGTTGCTGATGCCAAGAAGGATTGGAGCGGGCAGCATTCTTGCTTTCATGTACACTAGATACAAACCGATACCGCAGATCAGTGGTAAACACAAGCGCAGATTGAAATTCCATCATGTAATACCGTAACAGCATGGGCACGAGAGGATGTGATGTATTCAAGTGAATCGCAGTGTGGACGAGTGGAGCAGCACGGCGGATAATCGGAGCGGCAGGCTTGTAGCTGAGTGTGAGTCACCCACGATTTTCCGTGTCGGTGATATATCCAGTTTGACATCAATTGTCAGGATCACGACACCTAATGTGCTGCCAGTGGACGGCTCCCCAAAGGTGACGTGGCAATTCTCGACTCCGAACAGACTACCAGATCTGATACACATCTCTTTCGCAATGGACAACACCAACAAGACAAGACAGCTTGTCAGCTCTGGCTCGGCGTTCGAGGCGCAGATCGGATACTCGCGCGCCGTGGTGACGGGGGACTGGGTATTTGTTTCGGGCTGTACGGGGTGAGTTCTTCCTTGTTGGCATGGTTGTGATGCATTCCATCGAGTGCTCTCCTTCTTCTTCTTCGTCTTTCCTGTCATTTTCGACTATATTGACCTGCTTGATGGTTGTCTCGCTCGACTTATACTTCACCCGAGACGTATGATAATTATCGCAACGCTCACATGCTATCACTTGTTCCTATGGTGCCTTGATGCCGTCCACTGACCCCTTCTCTTCTGTCCGTCCAGATATGACTACGCCACGGGCGCCATATCTCCCGACCCCATGCAGCAGGCCGAGCAGACGATGCTCAACATCGCCGCGGCCCTGCGCGAGGCTGGGAGCTCGGTGGACGAGGTCGTGCGGGTGCGGTATATTGTGCCGCGGCGCGAGGACTTCCCGCTCATGTGGCCTGTGCTGCAGAAGTGGTTTGGGGATGACGATGGCGGGAGCGGGAGCGGAGAGGAGAAGAAGAAGAAGAAGAAAGGGCCCAGACCGGCGGCTACGATGATCAGCTGTGGGCTCATGGAGGAGGTCATGAAGATCGAGATCGAGGTCACTGCGAGGAAGGGGTCTGCGCTGAGCAGGGAGGGGAGTGGCAAGGCGGAGGAGGGTGTTCCCGGGCTATGAGATGGATAGAAGGGATGGAAAACTGAGCTAGTTGAGCACAAGTAGATGCATGATGGGCGAGAAGATCGGTCACGAAAGCCGCTTCTTGCTCGGCCACAAGATCTCCCTGCAAGCACCCTGCCGACTGCTCTTGGTTCTTGCTTCGGAGGCCGAGAACGGGGCGACAGGTCCTTTGCACGGACTGGGACCGGGACATGCTCGAGTCTGAGAGTTGCATTGGTCGTCCAGGGTCTCTCCCTTTTTTTTTTTTTTTCTTTCTGGTTTTATCTTAGGCTTTGGCCGCAAACTCGACAGGTACTGGGGTCTTAGATAAAGCCCGCACGCGACAATAATTTACATATAATGACCACATGAAGCTACTCAATCCTGAACTGAATCATCGCTCGGACTCTTGCTTCATATCCCGATAAAGTTTTCTGGCTGATTTATACACTATCTTCGGAGTCTCTGGCACTGTGATATATAAGGTGCAGACTTTCTCATAATCTTCTAGCAGTCAAGGCAGTACAGAGACTCCTGCGGATGTTGAGCGCAAGGCCTTATCCTTAGGCCGTCAACATCGAAGAACACCTAAAATTGCGATTGTGAATATTGGTGAAAGTATGGCGTGGGATATCAATGGCGGATATGGTGTTCGGGAGTTAGTGCAATGTGTCACATGAGATAGTCCAGGGGTCAAGCCTCTAGACTCCCAGGATATCAATATCAATCTGGATTCATATATGTGAGTTTGGATAGTTTGCCGACGAGATAGACTGTTGAGTCTCAGCATACCTTAGAGTATCATTTCCCTATGTTTTGGTTCACGGTCCAGTATTAGAGGTAGTTAGTGTAGTGGAATTGGGTTGTCTCCGCGATCTTAAGATCTAGGGGACCACGGTGATGGATGGAAGGGACCCCCTGCGCCCTGCGCCCTGTGTCCTTTCTGGGTTCCGTTATCAACACACTCCACGGTCTGTAAGTTAACAGTATGTGTCAATACTGAATCTGTGCTAAAGCCAGTATATATCACTATAAGCGGCCGTGTTCTCAACAGCAACCACACAAGTTTCGTTTCGGTAGCTCAGTGGTAGAGCGTGGGATTGCAGTGCCTCATTCGAGACTCGCTACATATCCTAAGGTCACGTGTTCGATCCACGTTCGGAACTTGTTCTTTTGCATTTTTGACAACCTCACATCAATCCGTACGATATTATCTCGTCAAGATAGAGATTATCGAACTTTTTGTTTTTTTCGAAGTTGTTGAGAATGTAATCTAAGCATAGCGCAGCGTGCGGGGTTTGGCGGGCCTCCAGCATGCACAACGGCTTACGGCTCCAGGTCGTGACTACCAGGTTGGGTTCATGCCAAGTGCAGCACGGGTCACCCAACGATTAGATCAGATACTCCGTACGCGTACATCACCCCAGAGTGGTTTCTTAGGCCTCTGTCCGTGGTCTGGGTTGACGGGCTCGATGTCAACTGTGAGCTGACTATGAGCTCGGTTTATTCGGTGAGGATGATCAATCAATGTGACACGGCAAAATCGCCGACGAGTGTCGAGATCAGACTCGAGCCTATTAGAGCCCTCCGAACACGGCACGCGTTCGGCCGCTTCAGTGCAGCCTGTACCGGCCAGGAAATGAGAGCGTGACACCGCACTGTGACATTCTCGTTACGGAGAGAGGACGCTGGAAAGTCACAACTTCGAGTCACAACATGGTCGATCGGCCCAAGCGGAGATTTCACGGCCCTGCGCACCGAAACGGCAAAGAAACGCCTGGCTGTGATCCGCTCAGCGGGGTCTCGGCGCTGTTGCAAATGGGCCAAGGAATAACAAATCATCGCTGCGGGAGATGTGTCGAAGAATGATGTCCTGAGCAGCCTGATACGGAGCCGCTTCAAGAGTGGGGGGAACGTGTTCGGAGTGGGCGGGTAAGGCTGTGGATAACAGTGCTGTGTGTAACAACCCGCATCTCCCTCAAGAAGACCACGAGGTTTCGAATTGAACAGAACTTCTGCTCGAGGTCGTCTTCTGCTCAGAGAGACTCGAGCTTCACGGCGTCCGGGCCGCAGCCGCTTCAAGCCGAAGCCGATGATTCCGACTTTGCCCATTGTCGCGATCTGTGTCGGGAGATTGAGGCTTGCACGGCTTGACGACGAGAATGAGCAGGGCCTCGGGTCCTCGGCCGGATGACATTAGTGTAGGCCAGTACATGAGCCTCTGATTACGATGCCATCGTGAAGCTCGCCCTTGTCACCATGCTGGCCAAGTAGCATCTCGAGTATTTCATTTGTGCCAGCCCGTGAAGGGGAAAAGCCCCCTTCCTGTCGAGCCTGTCTCGGGGACCGTTGACTGCTGGGCCAACCAGAAGGAGCTCCAGCCCGTCGTGCCAGAGCGGCCGACAAAGAGCCGCCTTATGGAGCGGCCCAGCAACCAACTGGAAACAGTTGAGGGTGGCCGATTAGAGTTGGCCAGCCCCGCCACGAGCTCGAGAGAGGGGCAGGCAGGCGAGCGAGACAGGCCTGGGCACCTTGGTGGTCGCGGCGAGATCGGGCAGGCCCGCAACGCTCTCGGAGCGACTCTGCGTGGTCGTGTCCGGTGGAAGATCCTGGAATGGCGTCCGTTTCCAGCAACAGATTGGCCAATCCACTGGACCCCTCGCCGCGAGGTGCTGAGCTTTGGTGCCCCACCACAATCGCGGCATTGTGCGTCAGAGGGGCAACAACTGCAGCTTCCGGGGACATCGAGAGCTGCAGGACCGCCCATGCCGGGCCAGGGTCTGCTCCCACTTGCCTTGCTGCGAAGGCTGGCTGGCAGTGGCGTTGGACAGCAATCGCTGCATCAAGGTCGCTTCCATGCAGCGCAGCTCCTGTCTCACCTCGAGCTGTAGCTGGTTTTCAGACCTGCCCACGTCTTGTCTCGGCTCTCGATTCTTCTTCTCTTCTCCAACCTCATCCTCACCACTTGTCCTCTCACCAATTCTGCCATTGCAAATCTCGAGACAAGAAAAAAACACCCAAGCTAGAAGCACTCGTAAGTCTGTCGCTCGCCAAGCATCGTCCCTCGTCGTCCTCCTCCTCAAGCCACCGTCGCGGAGCTAGCCTAGCTGCTACCACTTTGCGTGCTGCTTGCCCAAACCCCACCAGCCCACCTCGTTTGTTGACATTGACAATCGTGTACACTCATCGTTCTGTCCCCAATTCCTCTGCGGCACATCCCACTCACACCCCCCAAGCACCAGGCGGACCAATTACGTGTTAGTCGTCGCCTCCCAGGTCTCAGACCCCTCCACTCTCGGCCAGCTTTTGCATAAGAAGCTCCCACGCCCCTCCTGCCTCTGACAGCCTTTCCATCTGTCCACCAAGACTGACATTCTGTACCTATCTTGTCACAGAATTCACCTCAAATACATCACCCAACATGGCTGTCAAGAAGATCCACGCCCGCTCCGTCTACGACTCTCGTGGCAACCCCACCGTCGAGGTCGATGTCGTGACCGAGACTGGCCTCCACCGCGCCATTGTCCCCTCTGGTGCCTCGACCGGTATGTCAAAGCCGCTCCCCTCCCCAAACAACTCGATGACCCAGCTTAGCTCGGGCTGCTGACCACTTTCCCAACTCCCAGGCCAGCACGAGGCTGTCGAGCTCCGTGACGGCGACAAGTCCAAGTGGCTCGGCAAGGGTGTCACCAAGGCTGTCGAGAACGTCAACAGCATCATTGCCCCCGCCGTCATTGAGAAGGGCCTTGATGTCAAGGACCAGAGCGCTGTCGATGCCTTCCTCAACGAGCTCGATGGCACCCCCAACAAGGGAAAGCTTGGTGCCAACGCCATCCTCGGTGTCTCCTTGGCCATTGCCAAGGCTGGTGCCGCCGAGAAGGGCGTCCCTCTCTACGCTCACGTTTCCGACCTCGCCGGTACCAAGAAGCCCTACGTCCTCCCCGTCCCCTTCATGAACGTCCTCAACGGTGGCTCCCACGCCGGTGGCCGTCTCGCCTTCCAGGAGTTCATGATCGTCCCCTCCAAGGCCGCTTCCTTCACCGAGGCCATGCGCCAGGGTGCCGAGGTCTACCACAAGCTCAAGTCGCTGGCCAAGAAGAAGTACGGCCAGTCTGCTGGTAACGTCGGTGACGAGGGTGGTGTCGCCCCCGATATCCAGACTGCCGACGAGGCTCTCGAGCTCATCACTGAGGCTATCGAGGAGGCTGGCTACACTGGCCAGATCAACATCGCCATGGACGTTGCCTCCAGCGAGTTCTACAAGGAGGACGCCAAGAAGTACGACCTCGACTTCAAGAACCCGGATAGCGACTCGAGCAAGTGGATCACCTACGAGGAGCTCGCCGCCATGTACAGCGACCTCTGCAAGAAGTACCCCATTGTCTCCATCGAGGACCCCTTCGCCGAGGACGACTGGGAGGCCTGGAGCTATTTCTACAAGACCCAGGGCAGCACTTGCCAGATTGTCGGTGATGATCTGACCGTCACCAACCCTCTCCGCATCAAGAAGGCCATCGAGCTTAAGTCTGCCAACGCTCTGCTGCTCAAGGTCAACCAGATCGGTACCCTCACCGAGTCCATCCAGGCCGCCAAGGACTCCTACGCCGACGGCTGGGGCGTCATGGTCTCCCACCGCTCCGGTGAGACCGAGGATGTCACCATCGCCGACATCGTCGTCGGTCTCCGCGCTGGCCAGATCAAGACTGGTGCTCCCGCCCGGTCTGAGCGTCTTGCCAAGCTCAACCAGATCCTCCGCATCGAGGAGGAGCTCGGCAGCAACGCCGTCTACTCTGGCGAGAGCTTCCGCACTGCTGTCAACATGTAAATTGTGTCGAGTTTGGTGAAAAGCAGGAGTTTTTTTGATACCCCGAGAGAACCGGGGAAGGAAGGGACAAAAAGCGGCGCGAGAATAGAAGCTCCGCGCTGAGTAGAATTACGACGAAACGAATAAACATGTCAAAACATCAAACATGGTATGGCAATCATGTGTTTGTGGTGCATGATACTATGAGTGCGTGTGAAATGGGTCGCAGTGATGGCTACCAACGACGCCCCTAACATCAAAAGCTGCTGTCGTGGAGCACGCATCTCCAGTACGTCAAATCAGATCATACGAATGATAGTCACATGGTTCTCACAGCGATGGAAGAATACTATAGAGGTATGCTCAGAGTTCGAGCAGAGTGGCAAAGAGAGCTATGTGTGCAGTGGTTAGCCATTGACCTCGACAATGCACGGGTAGAGGTTGGAGCCGACAGCAAGAGTGAACTTGTGTGAGATCAGAAGTCCGTTTAATACATTTCGGGTCCGAAGACCCGATGATATAAGAGGTACCAGAAAAAGTAAAATAAAGTGGTGTATCATCAGGTGACAAGTAAAGGTGTAGGCAGGCCAAGCATTCGTACAGGATGTTTTGTGACTTACCAGTGATGCTGATCATCCTCGCGCGTGGGCTAAGGTCATGACGGGCATATCGCGCAACTCCTTTCGGAGATGCGGAGGACACTCAGAGACGCGTATCGGATCACCAGTGGTTATGTGAGGCGATGAAAGCTAGTCGACCTCGGCTGCACTGTTGAGAGATGATACAGGTTTGGGGACATCTCTGGCTGCGAAGAAAATTTGGGTTAGGCACGCTCAGGGGAGTCGCGATGGACAGGCTTGGCACGGACCGGGAGAACCTCGGGCGCTTGTGGGTCTGTCTTCAGCCATGCAGCCAATCAGTGCTTGTCAGCCACGCGAATTGAGCACACAATCCTTCGCCAGCCGCTGCTGAACTTTTTCGTGGAGCCAAAAATCCTCTAACCCTCTCCCAGCGTTTGTGCAGCAGCTTCGCAATCTGACTCCAGTCCAGTCCATTACCTGATCGCCAGCCAACTCCAGCAACACTCGTCGCCAACTCCGCTCGACAACCACACAACAAACCGCCAAAATGGGTCGTCTTCACTCCAACGGAAAGGGTATCTCAGCCTCCGCGCTGCCCTACAGCCGGACCCCCCCTGCGTGGCTCAAGACCACTCCCGCCCAGGTCGAGGACCAGATCTGCAAGTGCGTACCCACCAAGCAATCGAGCAACAACCCTTTCAGGACCTGTCGGACGCCGTAATGGAAGCATGACGGTCTACGATTGAAGATTAGGGCGAAATTGCGGCTGTGCGATACACAC